AAATCAATGTGCAAAAATCACATGCGTTCCTATACACCAATAACAGACTTAAAGAAAGCCAAATCAAGAACAAACTTCCATTCACAATTGCCACAAAGAGAATAAAATACCTAGGAATACAACTAACAAGGAACATAAAGGACTTCTTCAAAGAGAACTACAAGCCACTGCTCAAAGAAATAAGAGAGGACACAAACAGATGGAGAAACATTCCATGTTCATGGTTAGGAAGAATCAATCGTCAAAATGGCCACACTGCCCAAAGTAATTTACAGATTCAGTGCTATCCCCATCAAGCTACCAATGACCTTCTTCACAGAACAGGAAAAAACCACCTTAAACTTCATATGGAACCAAAAGAGAGCCCGCATAGCCAAGTCAATTCTAAGCAAAAAGAACAAAGTGGGAGGCATCACCCTACTGGACTTCAAACTATACTGCAAGGCTACAGTAATCAAAACAGCATGGTACTGGTACCAAAACAGAGATATACACCAATGGAACAGAACAGAGGTCTCAGAAGCAACACAACATATCTACAACCATCTGATCCTTGACAAACCAGACAAAAACAAGCAATGGGGAAAGGATTCCCTGTTTAATAAATGGTGTTGGGAAAACTGGCTAGCCATGTGCAGAAAGCAGAAACTGGACCCCTACCTGACACCTTACACTAAAATTAACTCCAGATGGATTAAAGACTTCAACATAAGACCTAACACCATAAAAACCCTAGAAGAAAATCTAGGCAAAACCATTCAGGACATAGGTGTAGGCAAGGACTTCATGACCAAAACATCAAAAGCATTGACAACAAAAGCCAAAATAGACAAATGGGACCTAATCAAACTCCACAGCTTCTGCACAGCAAAAGAAACAGTCATTAGAGTGAATCGGTAACCAACAGAATGGGAAAAAATTTTTGCAGTTTACTCATATGACAAGGGGCTGATATCCAGAATTTACAAAGAACTAAAACAGATTTACAAGAAAAAAACTAACAAACCCATTCAAAAGTGGGCAAAGGATATGAACAGATACTTTACAAAAGAAGACATACGTGAGGCCAACAAACAAATGAAAAAATGCTCATCATCACTGGTCATCAGAGAAATGCAAATCAAAACTACATTGAGATACCATCTCACGCCAGTTAGAATGGCGATCATTAAAAAATCTGGAGACAACAGATGCTGGAGAGGATGTGGAGAAATAGGAACACTTTTATACTGTTGGTGGGAGTGTAAATTAGTTCAACCATTGTGGAAGACAGTGTGGCGATTCCTCAAGGACCTAGAAATAGAAATTCCATTTGACCCAGCAATCCCATTACTGGGTATATATCCAAAGGATTATAAATCGTTCTACTATAAGGACACGTGCACACGAATGTTCACTGCAGCGCTGTTTACAATAGCAAAGACCTGGAACCAACCCAAATGCCCATCGATGATAGACTGGACAGGGAAAATGTGGCACATATACACCATGGAATATTATGCAGCCATCAAAAACGATGAGTTTGGGTCCTTTGTAGGGACATGGATGAACCTGGAAACCATCATTCTCAGCAAACTGACAGAAGAGCAGAAGATCAAACACCGCATGTTCTCACTCATAGGCGGGTGTTGAACAATGAGAACACATGGACACAGGGAGGGGAGCACTACACACTGGTGTCAGTTGGGGGGAAATAGGGGAGGGACGGTGGGGGGTGGGGAGCTGGGGAGAGATAGCAAGGGGAGAGATGCCAGATGTAGGTGATGGGGAGGAAGGCAGCAAATCACACTGCCACGTGTGTACCTATGCAACAATCTTGCATGTTCTTCACACGTACCCCAAAACCTAAAATGCAATAAAATAAATGGGGGGAAAAAAAAGACTCAAATTTTAAAATAAGTTTCTTAGCATTTCCCCATTAGCTTATTTCTTTTCATTATATTGATACTTCATAGTCCAGAAGCAATAAACTAACATTTGTGTCTCAGACCCTGAAGTTCTTGTTTTTCTCAGACCTCCTTTAGTCAGGTATAAGCAATGTGTTTTGAAGTAGAAAGGAAAAATATTTACTGCACAGTACCAAATCCAGACAGTCTTGTTGGATCTTGCCTGTTGATAGCCCCACTCCTATCTTAGCCCAGAGACCTTTTTTAAGTCTGCCTATGTTTGAAAACTTTCTAGACTCTCCATCAAGTACCACATCTTCTGCATAGACACACACGATTCCTCCCTTATGCCTTTCCATATGCCAGTGATGTGCAAGCTATGCATGTAAGTCATTTCTTGTTAGTACATGCAAGGCTATCAAATCAGAATGCAATTATTTTCCAAGTAAAGATTGAATTTGCCAGATATACATTATGTTCCCTTATCATATTTCACATCAATCAAAACCAGTCATTTCTTTTTAACAACAAGGGCATCAAACCTAGAAAATACTCAAGTTTATTGAAATTTTGGGTTTTTATTGAATATGCTAAGGAAAAATAGGAAATACATAATGGAAAAACTGCAAAGCCTAAATAGAATCATAGCCCATTTATGAACAGCTGAAATCAGACATACATAATTCTAAACCAGGTAGAACTATTAATCAGACTTTCACACTTTTTTTTTTTTTTTTTTTTGAGGCAGGGTCCCACTCTGTCACCTAGGCCAAAGGGCAGTGGTTCAGTCATAGCTCACTGCAGCCTAAAACTCCTGGGCTCAGGCAATCCTCCTGCCTCAGTGTCCCCAGCAGCTGGGACTACAGGCGTGCTCCACCACACCCAGCAAACTTTTCTTTTTTTAGGTTTTGTAGGTGGGGTCTCACTATGTTAGGCAGGCTGGTCTCAAACTCCTGGGGTCAAGAGGTCTTCCCGAGCTGGGCACAATGGCACAGGCCTGTAATCCCAGCACTTTGGGAGGTCGAGGCAGGAAGATCACTTGAGGTCATGAGTTAGAGACCAGCCTGGCCAACATGGTGAAACTCCGTCTCTACTAAAAATACAAAAATTAGCTTGGTGTGGTGGCATGCACCTGTATTCCCAGCTAGTCAGGAGGCTGAGGTAGGAGGAACACTTGAGCTCAGGAGGTTGAGGCTGCAGTGAGCGAGATCACATCACTGCACTCCAGCCTGGGCAACAGAGTAAGAGCTTGTCTCAAAAAAGTCACCTTCCTGCTTCTGCCTCCCAAAGTACTGGAATTACAGGTGTGAGCCACCATGCTGGGCCTCATACACTTTTTATTTTATTATTATTTACTATTAAAACCAAGAGAAACTTACCAAATCCACTTGCGTTACACAAAAATGTAGGGGCTTACTGCCTTATCTTCTCATCTCATCTTTCACATGGGGAAAAAAAATCATCTTTCAAACAGGGAAAAAAAATCATCTTTTACCCAGGGGAAAAAATTACCTTCTACAATTATTTTTTGGAGTATAAGTTATAATTTTATTCTTATTGCAGCACTGCCTATGAAGTCACTGCTCATGAATGCAAGAAAAAAAATTACTGGTCTTAAAGCACCATCTAGTGGGAAAATAAATGCCACAGTTAATAAGGTCACTATAGAACAACTACTTGTATTTGGGTTTTGTGGTTAATTTTGGTATTTTTTGAGGGTTTTTTTCTGCCAAAATATGATTAATTTGAAGAACGTACTTAGGTTTTTTTGAAAATTTTTATTTACCACCAATATTAACTACTTATTCTTTTTATCTATTTCTGAAATAAGGTTTAAGGCAGGAGGCTGACAAAATATCCTAAGGTAGATCTGTTAGTTCTGCCTGCTGTTTCACTACAGGAACTTAGAGTAAAGCCATATCCCTTTAAAGTATTCTTTATAAAATTAAAGGAAAAATGTCTCCTAGAATTCAAATAATGTCACTGTTTTTCAAACAATCGAATTTAACAAAGGGCTTTTTTAATCCACTAGTTCAACTGAATTTTATTCAAATTAACAAAACAGTGAGCTATTAATTTAGATGTTCTTGAACTCCCTGCTTTTACACTCAGTTTATAAACACTAAAAGCAGGTTTCTCTGCACTTCTACAAGTTTCATTTAATAACATGTAAAGGGGTGGTATAATTTGTACATCAGTCTATTTCTGTCTATAAGACCCTGGAGAGAAAAAGTGAAAAAGTGTGTGTGTGTGAGTGTGTGCACGTGCGCGAGCACACACGCCTCCTAGCCAAAACTAAAACATGGATAACTATTTTTCCAACATGTACAACGTCAGTAATAAATACTTACAATCTTAATCGAGGTTCAACACATCTGACAAAATAATCATATTCATCCTCCTCTTCTTCATCCCAACTCCTCCAAATGTTTTGGTAGAAAAATCTGAAATGAAACTTAGTATAATTCAAATTCTATAACTGGCTCAAAACATTAGGATTTTGGAGGGGTGAGACCTAAAGAGTAAATCAAAACAATTCTCCTATCTTAGAGAAGGTTGCATATTTGCTATGGTTGATAGTCATGAGTCACGCAGCATAAAGATCTTTTGTGGATCAGCTACAGAAGTTTCTCCAAATCCTTGGTTTTGTTAGGACTTTTTTTTTTCTGAGACGGAGTCTCACTCTGCCGCCCAGGCCGGAGTGCAGTGGCACAATCTCAGCTCACTGCAATCTCTACCTGCCAGGTTCAAGTGATCCTCCCGCCTCAGCCTCCCGAGTAGCTGAGATTACAGGTGTCCACCACAATGCCCAGCTAATTTTTTGCATTTTTAGTAGAGATTGGGTTTCACCACGTTGGCCAGGCTAGTCTCAAACTCCTGACCTCATGATTTGCCTGCCTCGGCCTCCCAAAGTGCTGGGATTATAGGCGTGAGCCACTGCCTGGAAATTGGGTCAATAATTATCTTGCTTGCATTAATATTTCTTAATGTATATATAGTTCACATTTATTTCAATGTTTAAGATTATAATTGTGACCTTCCGTTCGGTCGGTCCTTCCTTCCTGCTTCGCCTCCACGCCTCCTGCTATGGGGCAGAGCCCCCGATACGCTAGCACCATCTGGGGATCCGGAAACCGGCTCCACAATGGAAGAGGACCAGGAGCTGGAGAGGAAAGCCATAGAAGAACTGCTTAAGGAGGCAAAACGTGGAAAAACTAGAGCTGAAACAATGGGACCCATGGGTTGGATAAAGTGTCCTCTTGCTGGTACCAATAAAAGATTTCTAATTAACACAATTAAAAACACATTGCCCACTCATAAAGAACAAGACCATGAACGAAAAGAGGGCAATAAGGAACCAGCGAAGAGCCAGCCCCAGAAAGAAGAAAACCCGAAGAAACACAGAAGCCATCCTCACAAGCACAGATTCCATGCCCGAGGTTCTGTCAGTTACTCCCCACCACGGAAGTGGAGCAGCCAGGACAAGTACGAAAGACGGCCCAACTGGCAGTGAGGCCAAAGCCAGGGCCAGTCAGCCCTGCGGGCTCCGTGGTCCTTCAGGTGCGATGTGCAGAGGCGTTAGCTGGCAGGGCAAACATCTGAGAGTGACTTTTACAGTAGATCCTTTGTTGTTCTTAAAGAGGCTGCTGGACATTGGCAAAAAATGATCTAGCAACTCTTCCAGGAAACAAGGACAAAGGAGGATGTCTTGGCAAGTTTAAGCTACTTCTGCAGTGTAGTAGATATGTATTATTGTTAGTCTATCTTGTTTGGAAGCGCGTTTCAAAATATGTATAGAATTTAAAGTTTTCAGAAATTGTTAAAACTAGTTCCAGTTTTTTGGTCATTTCTCAAGGAAAAAAAACACTTATAAATCATATATGTAATTTTTTGGGGGTATCAAATTTAAAATTTAGAAGTCATCAGTCCAGTGACCATATTTATGAAAAGCCGTAGCCCTCCAAGGTCTGGGAATTTATCAAGAAACTCTTTGATAGCTCTGCATTTGTTTCCCTTTAGGTGAACAATGTAGGACATCCTCAAAGTGGCTTTGAATTTTATGCTCCACTTCAGTTACCAGAGGTTAAACAATGGGTTCTGTTGTTTTCTGTGCATTCTCAAACTCATTTATTAGAACAATTTTTCCGTATTTAATTTTTTTAATATATAAGTTTTAAGTGGTGCTTTAAAAAGATCCCTCACAAGTTAAAAAAATTAAGTTATTTCAGTGCAAGATCTTACCAGCTAAAGACGTAACGATACCACTATTAGTGTAGTTGTTCCAGAAATCTTCATTTTAAATAGAAGTGTTTACAGCATCTTCTCCCCCACCCCCCAGTACTGGTTTTCAGTACCTGTTTTAATATACAATTACAAACCTTTCAAACCTGTATTCCTTCTTTACACTCAGGAAATTGTCATCAAATGCCCTCCTCCCCAGTCCACAAAAGGAAGAAGATGAAGATTCCATCTCCCTGTTCCCCTCCCCAGTTTTCCAAAGTGTCTGAGTGTATGCCTGGCTGTCCTCAGATCATCACCATGCCACATCCCTGCTCCCCACTTCCTGGCAGCCAAGGAAAGCCCTTTCTACATGCTAGAAAGAAATACATCTGAAAAGTTAGCTTTGGGGTATTAAAAACTAGAATAGACTTCTCCGCCACTGAGCCACACCCTCATCCTCCTAGGGAGGGACAAACCTAAAGCATTTTAATCCACCCCTTCTCCCACCCCAGATCCCAGGGACTCATTCTGTGACTTTGTAACCACACTCATTCCTTTCAAACACAGAGGAGGAATCATTGCTTCATCTGAATTTATTCAAATATAGTAATGCATTAGCCAAAATTATTTGTGCAAAATTTGAAATGTTTTGTATTTAAATATTAGAAATAGCACAAAGTTATGGAGTTTTAAAAAATTGTTATAATTAAGTAAAAATAAAGCTGAATTGTGTCAAAAAAAAGATTATAATTGCTTGGAGTCTTTATTTAGGAGTTTGATGATGTTTTCATGACCAGATATATGATACAGAAACTTTAATTTTGTTTATATCAGTCAGCCTATGGTAAAACTAGTTTCATTAACGTCGCAGTTTCTAGGAACCTACTAATTACAGTAACTGAGGATTTTACTACAATGCCTGGCTATGTCTTTTTGTGATCAACAGATTCAGGTTGTCAGCCTGATGCACCCACTACAAAGTTCTCTTTCTCTAATGGTTGCAGTAGTCATTGATGTTCACAGTCTAGAACCTTTATTTCATTAATGGTTACAAAATACTGATAGACAGTCTATCACTTTCTTCATGTATTGGTTAGAATACTTTTGTAAAGAAATTCCTTAGGTGATTCCAAAGTGCTTCCAAGGTTGATTAGAGAGAAGACAGTAGATGTCCTAGGGCTGATCCCTGGATAACTCCGACATTCTAAAGTTTAAGCATGAGAGGAAAAGCTGGCCAAGATGACCAAGAAAGCAAGCCAGTAAGACATCAGCTGAACAGTGGTGTCCCAGAAGCTGAGAGGAGAGTGTGTTAAGATGGGAATGATCAAACACCTAGTATGTCAAGAGGTCAAGCAAGGTAAGATCAGAGGCAAGACGAGACAGTGAAATGTCAACTGAATACAAGAACATGAATACAGAACTGAATACAAGAACATGGAAGTCTTTGAGCACAATTTCAGAGATGAAGTCAGGGTAGAAGTGTTACCGGAACACCAGGAAGTATACACTGTGACTATATACAGCTCTTTCAAGAAGTTCTGTTGTGAAAAGGAAGCACTGAAAATGAAACCAGCCATCTCTTAATTACTATAGATTGGGCTGTTAGTCCCTTCACCCTCTAGTAGAGTCTTTTTATTTTTTGTTTTTGTAATGAAAAAAAAAACACCTCTGCTGCCTCCCTTTTAGCCCTCAGAAAGAAGTCCTGAATGTACTACTATAAATAGATTCATAATCTGGCCCTATTGCACCTCTCCTGCCTCAGACCTGTTGTACATAAACTCTCAATTTCACAAGATCTTTCAAACCTCCACGTAACATGTTAGTCAAGCTGCCAGAAGTGCCTTCCACCTTTTCCACCTGGTAAGCTTATAGTTACATTCCATGACTCGGCTTCAATGTCATCCTCACCAGTACCAATGCAAGCATTTACACATCATTCCCATCTGTACCTCCCCTAGTGCTGATTCTTTCAAGCCAGAAATGTGGAAGTCAGCCTTGACTTCTCTCATATCACTCACATCCTCTCATCTCCTATATTTACCGGACCACAAAGTCCCAGCCATTTTGCTTTCTCAGTAAGCCTCCATCTGTCCTCTCCATATCCCCACTCTAGTCCTCTCTCTTGCCTCTTAACTGGTCTCCCTATTCCATCTCCCACCATCTGTTTTCCACACAGAAGCCATGATGAACCCTTGAAAACACAATGCTGTACTTCAGGGGGCTGAGGTGGGAGGACTGCTTGAGCCCAGGAATTCAAGTCCAGCTTGGGCAACAGAGCGAGACCCCCATCTCTACAAAAAAAAAAAAAAAATGTAAAAAAATTTAGCTGGGCAGTGGTGGCACATGCCTGTAATCCCAGCTGATCCAGAGGCTGGGGCAGGAGGATGAATTGAGCGCAGGAGTTCAAGCCTGCATTAAGCCATAATTGCACCACTGCACTCCAGCCTGGGCAACAGAATAAGACCCTGTTTCCAAAAAAAAAAAACAAAAACACAAAACTAGTAATATTCGCCCAAAAATGAAAATCCTTCAGTGGCTTCCCACTGCTCTTAAAGAAAAAAATGACTAGCTAACAAAGCCTTGCATCATCTTGTGATATTGTGCTGGCCTAGAGCCAGAACCAGAGCAAAACTATTTTATAAAATGCAAAACTGTTTTTAGATAAGTTGAAATGGCTGCCCCATTCTCCTCACAATAACTACTGTCCTTGGCCTCTTGTTTGTTCTTCAAAACTATGTAAAGTTGCTTACCTTTTCTTATCAGTAACTGCCAGAATTGCTAGCCTTTGCTTACCGGCAATTGCCAGACTAAGCAGCCCAAGCTAGTTCCATCCTGGCTCCTGTGGCTTGTAATAAGTAACTAAGGTCTGTGATTTCCACCTTAACCAGATAATGTGTAAACAAATGTTTATCTTGACTTCTGTAAACCACTTAAGTAACAAACGGAATGACAAAAGTCCCCATCCCTTGGAATGTCTGGAGACCCCCACCCTCATCTCTGCCCAGGAGGTAATTTACAGAATCCACTAGCCCTCGGAATGTCTAAAGCCTTTTCATCCCCATCCCTGCCCCTCACCCCCACTCCCAAGGTGGTTTTTCGGGTATAAAAAAATCGTGGCACCCTCCTATTGCCACCACAGGTTGGAGAGACGTGAGTCCTCTGTGGTCGCCGGCATAATAAATGACCCTGCAATCTGGCATACTTTTGTCTTGTGATAACTTTCTACACTTGGTCAAATACAAAAATCTGACCCCTGCCAACCTCTCTAATCTGGTTTCCTAGGTCTCTCCCAGCACTGTCTGTGTTCCAGCTATGCTGGCCTTTCAGTTCCTTAAACACACTCAGCTCCTAAATCTTTTTCCTTCCCCACCCCGCCACCCCTTTCCCCAAACTAACCCAAGTTCAAATGTCATTATTCCAAAAAATAACCCTAGAACAGCAACTTGACCTAATCTGAGGACACCCTGTAATTCTTCCCAGCACTCACTGCTACTTCTAATCAAGTAGACATCTGTGCGTGATTATTTCATCAAGGTTCATCTCCTAGCTTTAGACAGGCAGCTCCCTGATGATGGTGCCTGTCTCATGCACCAGACATACTCCACCCTTGACTAAGAACCTGGCACTCAAATATTTATTGAATCAACCAACAAATGAAAACCCTCATAATTTGGCACTGACCCAAATCTCAGCCCTCAAAATGAAGAGTAAATTTAACCAGACTCCTCTTCAAATAATATTACCAAATAACATTCCAGATACTTATTTTTCTACCAACTTCTATGCCCATAGAGATTAGCTCCCTGATTCCTAATTTCCTAGACTTATCAGTTACCCCTTTATCTTCAAATGCTTCAATTGGCAGACTTTTTTAAAATGAGAAAAAGGGAAGGGAGTTCTTTTGGTTCTGGACAGAAACTAGTTTAGATTCATTCTGCTTGGCCCAATACTGAACATCTAGGGTTACATGTTCTTGCATACAATTAGAAACTGTCTGTAAGATGTTAGCAGAAGGGCCTGAGACACTCAGCTTCTTTGCAGAGCATTCAAATTAAGCTCAGCAAAACCAGGTTAACTCACTAATGGTATAGAAAATGGAAAGTACTTTTTATACTACAAAACACCAAGCAATATTATTTACATTATGGTCATTAATTATTACTCAGTCTTCTAGTTCCTGGAGGAATATAAGTCTATTTTTAAATAGCTAAAGTCAGCCTTCTTTGGTGAATATACTTACATACAGAAGATCCAAAACAACTATCTGTATCAGGAGCCATCTAATAAAAGATTGATCTGAAAAATTGTTTAAATCATACCCACTGATCCAGGTATGGGCTATCTTTCGCACGTAAGGGACAAGGGGTCCTTCTCATCCTCCTCAGCCTGGCTCAGAGCTAATGGGAAATAACTATGGCAAAAAAGGCTGACAGGTAGGAATACAACCCCTAATGATCCTAAAAGCAGCCTAAGAAAACGCTTGCTTTGACCAGACCTATGCTTGAAAAACTGTGTATTCATCATTTAGCAGTGCATACAGCATGGTATATAACCTTCTTCACTGTCTTTCTCTTCTTCTACTTTCTGTAGTCTTATATTGACATATACCAACCATAAGCCTTAACATCCACAACTTTTAAGCCAGCTTATATACAAACCAAATTAAGAATCCCCTACTTTTGTTAACATTTGGGAAAATCAAGTAAAAGACAAATAGGAATTCTTTATACACTAGGCCCTTGAAGAACAGAGTCTGAATTTCATGGGGTCCACTGATAAGTTACACTGAGTGTGCCAGCCTCTCCAGCCTCCCTTTCCACCTCTCCTCCACTTCTTTTGCCTCTGCTATCCTGAGGCAGCAAGACCAATCCCTCTTCTTTCTCTTCCTCCTCAGGTGAAGATGATGAGGATGAAGACCTTTATGATGATCCACTGCCACTTAATGAGTAGTAAATACATTTTCTCTTCCTTATGAATTTTCTTAGCACTTTATTATAAGATAATACACATACAAAATATGTGTTAATCAACTATTTATGTTAATGGTAAGGCTTCTTTTCTGGTCAACAGTAAGCTATTAGTAGTTTAGTGTTGGCAGAGTCAAATGTTATACTCAGATTTTTGACTAAGGGTGGGGGAAGATAGGCACACCTAACCCCCACATGATTCAAGAGTCAACTA